GAGATCATGACAAACGATCGTTGCCATCTACGGAAATCGTGACTTACACCGACTTGGATTATTAGTTAGTTATATACCTTCACCAGTGGGAATTATAGCCCCTCAAAAGTTTACTCCATATACACTATACCATCCCGAAACCACATTTAAAATATATAGCTAGGTTATGGTATGGTAATAACCTCTTCTCCAACAAATTTGATCATTTGATTCCTAAGTATGCGAAACGAATCATCATATACTTTACACATGTCTTCCTTGGTCATCTGATTTTACTTTACATGACTACTTCTTTTGAGGGGTATGTAAAAAATACTGTGTGCATACTATCACATTATAATAAAATACATAGGATCTAAAAAAATATCAAAGTTAATGGATGTGCATAAAATATATTTGAGTTTGGAATAAATGTTGTTCGTGTGATTCGTGTGATTAAGGAAAGTTATGAATAACATGTATAATAGATGTAATTAAATAAATTTGAGGTATTAGCTTAAACAATATACATATATATTTCATGTAAAAAAGCGGGTTTGGTATAATATGTAATGGCAGCACAATTATTCAGGGTACTTACACCAAACAATTTCGAAAGGAATAAGGAGCACTAGCCGATGTTATGTTGTTGTATTTTACGTTATGCAACAATTCAGTTTACTGGAAAAATGTTGAATATCTATTACTTGGAAGTGTTCTACAGCTCAATATCTATGTATATCGTAATGAAAAGAAATCACGTTTGCTTTCAGATACATGAAAAACAATAATAGTTACGATCGATTTTTATCGGGAGTGCAGATGCTGTATCTAATATCAGTGTTGTGGTTTTTTGGAAAAAAGTATTGAGTGTAGGCACATCTGAATTTTAATATATAACTAAATAAGTTGTAATAATATTATTAATTACTCTTACTATACATTTACAACTGTTATTGTATATACCTGCATTTATTAATATAAATTTAAATTTAATATTAGTTAAGCAAATACTTATTTAGATTATAAATTTTAAATTATTGAGTTTAATATTAGTATATTTCACGATATATCATTTATATGTATACTCAAATGAAATTATACATCATTTTATGTTGGAAAAGTTAGTTTAGGTTAGAAAATGTTCTCCTTTGACGATCTGTTTTCGGTTTTCTTGATTGATTATTATCACTTGAATCGTGTAGATGTGTGCTATAAGCAGCGTTTAACATTTGGTTTGGTTCATCAAACGATTGTTAGGTTAAATAAATCTAGTTTAAAAATATATTAATAATATTGTCTTTAAATCTGTGCTTAAAAAGAGATTAATCAGACTAATTTTTTTCTGTATTTTGAGTTAAATAATGGAGAAATGTTTAATTAATTATTATTATTATTATTTTTACTATAATTTGAGTATATTATTATGAATTATACACAAAGGTCATCGAAATTTCATTAAAAATATTGTGTGAATGTATAGATTGTACATAGAAACAAAAATTATGTGATATTATAATGTAGAGAGTAATTTTATTCAATTTTATTCTTATTAGCACGCTCTTTTCCTTCAATAATGAATTTATTAAAATTTCTAATTTTTAGAACTTTTGGAATGCTCAAGTACCATTTTTTTTTATTTAGATACATTGGCATTTTATACAATTCAAAAGTTGTGAATATACAATTTTTCTTTTTTTTCTTTTTTTAAATGAAAATCACATCATTTTTCTGTTAATGTAAAAATATATTTTTTTAAATGTCAAAGCATCTAAATCAAAATTTTGAGTAGTTTCTAAATTATAAAACTATAATACATGTTAAAGATACAAAAATTTAGTTGGTACTGGGTTTGTATATACACATATAACATGTAAAACCAATTTAATATTTAGTTCACATTATTTATTATAATTGAACAATTTGTATTAGGTATAAAATCCTTTTATATTTATATTAATAATTACATTTTTTTTTAACTATCTTTGTTCACGTATATTTAAATTTATTATCACTTAGGTTCTAAAATGAACCTTAGTACATAAAATTTAATATTTCAAAAATGATAGAAATTAATAATTTGAATTTAAATGTATAGAGATCGTTAAAAAATAATTTTCTTATTTGGAACACAGAAGTTTGTGTCACCTTTGAGACTTATATTAAAAAATATATGAAAGCAAACACAATTGTATATATTTATGTAAGCATTTAAAAATATAGCATGTAAGACGTGCAACTTAAAAATTCTGAAAATCAGAATTCAACTAAATTCAGTGGATAAGTGTGTCCTGCAGTATAACAACTTTTATAATAAAACTGCTGCTCGTCCGCTTATTAGACTGTCGGTGTGATAAATAAAAACGAGCTGCTGCCAGTGTAAATCACAATAACTACTGTCATATTAAACAACGGAAACCAGAAGATATGGACATCTTACGTAAAACATAATTATTCGATTTAAACTATATTATAATGCATTTTGGATAAAAAAAAATAAAGGCTATAAGATAATATTATTTATACTACATAAGAACGATTTCTAGTTTTTATTCAGTATATCTTCCGAGTAATTATATCTACGACGTACAATATTTTATGTAGACACTCGATCCGCCTCAAAACACGTGTAATATTATATTTTGTAGTAACACGCGGTGACTACCATAAATAATAATATTATTATAATGCGATGCGAAATATGCGAAATGAACTTTGGACACGACCTCGTGTCCGGTCGGCGGCGGGTTTTTACGATCGCGGGTGTGATACACACACACAGATAGTGTACAATATACAGATATAACGACACGATAATAATGTAATAATTTAATAATATCGCCGTATTAACATATCATTAAAAATGCATGGCGAGGGATATCAACGAAATATTTCAGCTGATGGCTGTCGGACGGGACGCCACGATTTCCGCGGAGAATTAAAACGGTAGCGGTTTCCGATGGCGATAGTGGCCCAGCGATAGCGTGCCGGAAACGATTCGGATCATAACCGCGTTTGCACGGTTCCGGTCGGTGGCGTGGTGAAGTGTTTAAATAATTCGGGCAAATAATTTCCAGGAATACTACTCATCCGCCCGACACTTACGTATTCTCTGTCAGCCCCATTCGTGCACACGTTTCGATAAACCGTTTACCCGTTCTTTGCATTCGCTTTCGATTTCTTTGGTCGAGTCGCGACGACGTTTCGTTGTCGATAAACAAAATAATAAAATCTGTTGTGTGTATATAATTATATATATATATATATATATATACCGTTATTGCGGTAGGTTAATAATCATTTAGCTCGACGCAATTGTTTTGATTATTATTGATATTAATATTATTGCCATAATCAAATACCTTATTACATCTCTTGCCTGTAACTATAAAATAAATAACCGGGACACGTTCCCTTACGACTACGGTCACCACGCCACCGGTATAATATAGTTTGATATATCTGAGCAGAACTCGCGCGTAAAATATTTAAGCGTTATATAATGACTGAAGTATTTTAACGCCCGTGTATTTATATTATGGGATTGTAATTTATGCAATAATAGTGTTGAATGTTGTTCAATCGATGTGTTATATCCAGTAACAATATTGTTGTTGACAATCATAGTGTTTATATTGACGACGTTAATGTATAGAGCTCATACAGGGAGATATTTTAAATCGATGTTAGAAAAAACATTATAAGAAACCCATAATTTTTATGTTTAACGACGAAATAATTATATGTACTATGTACGATGTGACGATAGTTATTTTAAATGTTTGCTTAAGTAAATTCAAAATATGTATATTATCATAAATAACAGATCCCCCCCACAAAAAAAAAAAAAAAAAAAAAAATAGTGTTTTACTTTAGAACTTGAGAAAAAAACAATTTTTGTACGTAACGCGTGTCTGAATCGATAGATGTTGTCTTACAGTATTGATAAGAACATCATCACTTGAACTGCAGTGCATTCGCCGGCCGGTCGGTAATACAATATTACCATGCAAATCGTGTTAAGTGCTCTTAATTTATTACCACGTAACTCTACACTCGTATTACACGGCAAATACTTTAAATACAATCTTGAATTAACGTCATTGTAGTCTCTCGCTCAATTTATTATCATATCGGCTTTTGGACGCGAACCGCTTGCCCAGACCGTTGTTGACGTTTTCTTGACATGTTTTTTACAGCCTCATCCCGTAATCTGACTGGCTACACGTCGTACCTTTGAGTGTGGCGAATCGCACTAATGACTCCATGTAAGATGAGACGTCAATTTACTCAAACCGAGTACACCTGACATATTAATATAAATGGTTGAGCTGCTGCAAGAAGCGTGGCGTGTAAATACGACTAACTAGCAGGATATTTGCTCTTTAATTTAAAACATATAATATCTGGTTATAAGTTGGTTAATTAAGAAATTTCTATTAGGTTAAATATTTTACAATTTATTTTCGTCCATATCATTACTTCAGATTATAACTATCATTGTAGTCAAAAGTCCTATGTCTTTAAAAAGTTTAAAATATGATAAAATCGTTCACAAAATCATTATGATATTTCACTAAATATACTTTTGAAATTCATAAAATAATTGAAATATGCATTAAAAAAAATTAAAAATGTGCAGTTAAATAAATGGTCTCATTTAGTTATAGAGAATATTTGTAATAAGTAAATGATTGGATTGTCATATCATTTTGGAAATTAAATAAAAAACGAATTTGTTTAAAATTATTTCGTATGTATAATGTTCAATAAAAATAATAACTATTTTTAAAATATATTATGAATAAATAATTGTTAAATATTTTTTTATATGCCGATAAAAAAACATCAATAATATATTTGTTGCTATTTTTAGATATTTTCCATAAGTTCTACTTATATATTATGACTATGATACATTATGCCAAACTCATAATACTATACAAATCACATATAAAGCATTATCATGTGTGTAATAATTCAAATGGTTATATTGAATAGAAACATTATATAATACTTACTTGTTGTTTTGTGATATAGATTGGTTTGTTTAGTATTAACCAGGTAACGGTTTCGTGACACGCAGGAACCGTAGTAGAACCGTCATACGTCATGTAATAATGAGTGGCAGGCAACAAATCGGCGACTGACAATCGTTTTACAGGAACTTCGTCACCTAAGTACAGATACAATATTTATAAACCGTATAATTGCGTTCGCGCGGTAATGGCGGGGTCAGGTGTGTTTATATATGTAATGATATGCTCACATATGATTGTTAATTACATATACATAAAATTCAATCAAATAAATTAACGGTCAAGTTTTCACACGCAGACTAAATCCTATAAACATCCTTTCGCCACTGATAAAAGAAAACTACTTATATTATATGGTCACAAGGGGATTGACACATGAGTTGTGACAATGGCTCTCAAAGGGTGTGAACCAATTTCGTTAGCCACCAGAGACAAGCCATGGAACAATGAAGCTCTCTGTCGTCTAGAAGAAAGACTATTTCTTCGAAAAACGCTAAGTTCTTTTTTTGATGGCATCGTCTGCGACTCTGGCTGGCTTGACCAGGTCGTCTTCTCTCTGCAGTGCACGAGTACCAGCCAAACTATCGAGTGCATGAGCACCGACAAAAATTATGAGTGCAGGCGCACCAGACAAGTGAGCAGGAGCTCTTCCCAAAACCATCATACGACATACACACAAGACTCTGCGAGCGACAGCTGGACTTCTTTCTTTTTCTAAGTTAAATCAGTGTTGTTTTTCTTATTTAAATTTAAGTTTTCCTTAAGTTATATCGTAATTTGTGTCATCTTGCATCTTTCTCCGAAGAACGTACTATAAGTATTCACTGTGGCGAATTAGGTAAGGTGTATGTCTAAAATACTAATTGTTAGTACAGGTTATGTTACTATCTAATTTGTGTAACGGTGTATTTGATAACATTCTTGAATCACGATCTCGAGAACCCTCTAAAGAACAGGAGGAAGGTAATAACATGAGAACAAGTATACTCAATACTTATTAATACCGGACTTACATACAAGGCTTGTGTGCTTTGTGTCAGTCCGGCCGCATTCATACTTATACCTTTTATCCTACTACTTTATAATTTTAAATATTAACTTTAATTTCCTTTTTTGTGTTATTACAATGTGAATTTGAAAATTTTCAAGTACATTCTGTGGTTCAACTCCGCGATGCGTATATTAGTGTTATTAATTGTTATTTATATGTATATAACGTGAAATATTAAGTATTATATGGTTATATGCAGATGCGTAAATAATCAATACGCCAATAAACGGTAAGCAAATGGACGTGAATGTATGAAAAATTGTACTCCGATATTCTACACAATTAATAAAATTTAAAACAAAGAAACCGGAAAGTTTATAATATTTCTTAATGGTAATAATTTAGGACGAGTTTGTGTTATTTTTAACTATGTTATTTATATCGTCTGCTATACTATATTACCTAGGTATATCTTATAAGAAACTTTGATTTCTCAGAATATTCTTATTACAATTGAACCTACACCCTGAATATGCGAAGTATTTTATCGAGTTTTTTTGAGATTGTTAATATAATATAACATTATTGATAATAACGAAAATAAATTAATCAAATCAATTTGATTTTTTAACTTACCACTATATTTGATCATGTCCAAATGATCGGTGAGTATCCGTAATTCTGGATTTGATAAATCTCCAAGCTGTAAACAAAAAAATTAATGTCAGTGTGTTTTTGGTTCTTAACAGTTTTAAATTATTATAATTAACTTTATTATAAAATAACTTGTTTTTACCTATACTAAAATCTCTTAGAATAATTTTCTCATACATTTTCTGCATAAACTGTATAATATTTTCTAATACTTAATAAATATGACATTATGTTGAAAACATTTTGTTTGTCACGTGATATTCAGTGAATCTAAATATATAATGTATTTGTATAACACTAAAATAAATGACTAATATATGAACTTTAATACATGTTATTGTTGTATATGGTATACCACGTGTCCACGGAATAAAAATAAAATCGAGGATGGGTATTAAGTATTAATAAATCAACCGTAAATTAAAGACTTAAGCAATGTGGAAGGTTATGATTTCGACAAGAAAAATTATAAAAATAATTAACTGGTTCATGGAAATCATTTTCATGGATGTCTATTGTATTCGTTGAATGGTGCTCACACACATAATAAATTGAAAGTTTATGAGGATCGTCGATGTTACGAAATGTAAAAAAATAATTTTATGCAATCTCATTTGATTCGCCTCCATAATGCTTAACTTAAAAGTAGTAGAATTTTAAAAATTCTGATTAAGGTACTTTAAAATAATTTTTTTTTATTTAATAAAAGATTCGATGTTATATTTCGTGAGAAAAAAGTAAAATGAATAATTGAAACATATGACAAACTAATGGAAATATATCAATATTATAATAATTAAAATATAATGCAATAAGTAGTATATTTTAATCTAATTAAAAATAATGGTAGGGCTACACACGACTTGTGAAAAAAACATGTGGTAGGTAGCACACGAAAAGAATACCCTTTAATAAACCTACACTAGTTTAATAGTATATTATGTACAATGCCAAAAATAAGTCTGAATTGCATAAAATAATGATTGTTTACACTGTAAAAAGACTTGACCAACGTGATAATAATTCATATTTTTATAAATATAATGTTATTATGTTAGTGCTTGTAGAAAAAACTTGATATCAATATGCGATAATTGCACGTGTTAAAGTTAGGTACATACTTACCTATGTCATCTTGTTAAAGGTCATGGATAATGTTTTATGTTTACGTCACGTGAAAATTAAATTGAGGACTGACCACTTAAAACGATCAAATACTCAAAATTGAAGTTTATATATATTAAGTATAACTATTATGTGTTATATAATATTATACTATTATAGATGATATACATTATTGTTGTTGGTAAATATGGATATTGATTTCGTGTCAATATTGTACAGACATTTGAGAGTTGTTGATTAAAATAAAATAGGTAGACTGTTTTTACAATAGTATTATTATTATAATGATGATCAATAAATTGTATACTGTAGGTAATGTGAGTAGTGAGTACCTACATAATAATATTATTTTTAACGATATTTTTAAGAGTTTCATTTGAAGCTTTAGGTTTGACGTTGCGCTCGTTATTTTCTTGTGCTTTATTTTTCTTAAGAACACTATTTTATGTTGCAAAACAAATAACTCAACTTGAATATATTTCACATGATCAATGCACGGTTAATTAAATTTATTGCGCTAGATACATTAAAAAAATAGCACATTTTATTTAATATGGGTACTATTTTAATTAAACTGTTTTAGTGCTTTGAAGCACATCTTAATATACCATTATAAGTAAATATAAGTAATTTTTAATGCTAATTTTAATAATTTTAAGCTACATGTTTATGTACACAAGAAGAACAAAACAATATAATATATCGAAATATTGATATCAAATCATAAACGATGATATTAATGAGTTAAGAGTGTTAAGACAATTATTAGACATCCAATATAATTGAAACAATTTGTTTTTGCATTCATTATAATCGATTAGAATTGATTTGTACTATTACAAAATATTCAAATAAATATCAATATTTTGAATATGAATTACGAAAATTTGACTCATAACATAAATACATTAACTAGTAAACATAAATTTAAGAATTATAAACTTGTTATTGAATAAAAAAAAAAAAATGTTGAATTGCATTGAATTATTGCGCAAGAAATATTTCTTTCTTAAAAAGATAAAGATAAAATAATAATAATTATGATAAGTTATTATTAATAAATAATAACCTATATATTTATACTAATTTATAAATAATATAATAATTAAATGCAGTCAATATCAATATGTTAGGATGAAGATTTGAACAAGATCAATTAATAATTTATATGTTAAGTATATCAAACGATTTATTTAAAAAAAGTGATATTTATTAAGTTAATACGATAATATTTTCAACATTGAATTCATTTATCTGGTAAATTTTATAAAATTATTCTAAAATATAAAAGTGAATCGTATATAGATGTCTGCTACATTAATTATTTCATATACATTTATAACGGAATGAAGAGTTATGTACTATTTATGATAATATTGCTTAAAAAAACATACATACAATAATTATTAAAACATTTTAATACAAATTAATTAAGAAAAACAAATATTAATTTATATCATCTCAATATCTTATTCTAGTTTTGAATAAATCTTATAAGACTCTTATGAATGCACTTATAGGCTTAAGTCACTTATAATAAACTAATTACCAAGGGTGAGCTATAAACTTTACCTCAAATATTTTAAACACATAACTGCTAAATTATGCACAATCAACAATTATAAATAGTTAAGCAGTGTATGTATATATTCTTCATCAAATTTCTAAAACCGAATTGCCCTTAAGAATTTAATATTTAAAATAGATTGGACAATACACGATTACCCAATATTTAATGATGGCTCGTAGAGTACACGGTGCACATTTGTTATTATCATATCGTTTTTGGCAATAATAACAACAATTATACTTTAAACTTTTTACTTTTTTTTTTTACTTTACTATTTTAGTAACATTGGTTTTATTTGTAACACATAGATTAGGAGATTATACCTTAAAGCTCGTGTTTTTAATATTATAATATAATAAATTTCCAAAAATCAAACAATATTTTTGCTATTTTTAAATATAAAAAAGACCTTAGTTTTTATTTATTTTTTTGATATTTTACTCACAGATATCATTTAGAGATGGATGATATTATATAATCTGTAGAACATTGTTTTACTTATAGAGTGGTTCTTTGAACAGTAAACATACATATTATTTCTAAAAGTATAAACATTTTTTTATACATTTTTCTAAGTATACAATGTCCATATAATTATATAAAATCAAATTTTGGACCAATGATAACGTGGGTTACTAGTAAAATGTTTATTATTTTACTAATCTAAATTTTAAATAATATCTGCAGTTTCCAATTCATACAAAATTCAATTTTTTATAATATGACATTTTTATACTGAATTAAAAATATTTTTGTCAAGGTAAAACCTTTGAAAAAGGTAACAAAAAAATTATTTTGTAATAAATTGAAAATATTTTAATATATTTTTATATTTTTTCAAGTTGTTTATTTGTTTTAATGGATTTACTAAGTATAATTAACCAACTATATATATTTTTTTTAGTACAAAACCATATCCTTTTTAATATATTGTATAATATATAACTGACTAGTTATACTATTTCTTATACTATAATCAAAGTAAATTTAATATAAAACTTGAAAATATCAAAAACTGAACTATGTTAAATTTTCAAAACAAATAAAAATACTAATAATAACGAAAATATATTTATAAATAAATTTACACATGTACGAAATGCGGTCGCATGGAAGACGGTTTTCGATTTGACGAGTCATGAGAGCCATTTAGTGATCGATGTGTGTGACCAAGATAACAACCACAGGTGCAGCTAGATGGTGAATGTTGTAGTGATTTCATAAGTTTTGTTCGAAGAGTTATGAACGTCTGTTTCTTAGAACATAATATGGACGGTAGGTTTATTTGCCAAAGACAGCGGTTGAGAAATAACATGACTACAATGCTTTGAAAAGTTATTAATTTTTAAGTTTTTATCATAACACTTTTTGAACTACAATATATGTATGCTTATACTTTATACTAAAATCTCTTTCTCTCTCTCTCTCTCTCTCTCTCTCTATCTTCTATTTCAATCTCTCCGAAGACTTTTAGTCGCCATGGTAAAATGGCTAACGCCTAACATGTCAAGTTGTACACTAATAGTTAGTTTAAATGGTTACCAATTTTCAAAAAGTAATAAAATTTCGTTTTCTGAACTAACTTATTAACTTATTTATAAATCAGATAATATTACAGATTTTTGATTGATTGATATTGTCATACAAAGTTTTTTGTTAAACAGATATTTAAAATGTGTACTATACATGTTTACTTTAAGTATTATAAAAATATAATGTAGATTTAAATATATAATATATATATATATATACAGTAAAATCATTCAAATAGACATATCTCAATATTGGATAATTTCTTGAGAACTGGTATATTTTCATTAATTTTCAATGTAAAAACCGACGGACTTCTATTTTACCCTAAATGTAAAAATAATGACAAAACGGCGGCAGAAAAACACTAAAGCGTTTTATCGGAATTTTTTACAATACGATAGGATTACGACGCATAACATAAAAACGGAAACCCAGGAGTCTGCATGTTAGCAGAAAAGTTTCGCATAGGGTAAATACAAATCGCAGATATTGTGTTTAATAAACAAGAAATTTATAAAACATGAGTTGAAGATGGAAATTATGATCGTAAATTTAAAAAAAATTAAGTAAAAAATGTGAAATCAATGTGATTGCCTCTGAATAGTGGATACAATTTCAGTGATCAAGGGTGTCCGCTATTCAAAGGTTTCACTGTATAACAATATTTAATTTAGATTAGATTATTTTTCTTTCAAATCGAATAAGTCAAAAATAAGTTGTTTTATTTTCGATAAAAAAAAAAAAAAAAATACGAGTTTGAGCATATTAAATGTATGCACATTGTATTTACGTTAAGGAAAAATGTTTTTAAAAATAATTTC